ACAGAAAAGAGAGATATACTTATGTATCTTTAAAATATATTCATTTAAATATCTTTTAAAGCTTTTGGCATCATTCTAGAGTTGGCATAAAACACTGAATCTTGAAATGTTTAGTAACTTGATATTTGTAACTTGTGGGTTCCTTTTTATGGAAAGTATCTTATGTTTCCTCCTGTAATACTCATAAAACCTATGCTTATATCAAACCATCCATGCATATAACTTATATTTGGCCATCCAAACTGCTTGGAACTCACAAGAGTCTCCATTCTTGGTCTAAAAGATCAAGCCCCCAGTTTGAGAGAAATTATTCTAAAGGAAGGAGTTTTTGTTTTTAAAATGTCTTCTCAAATAGACAAGTAGTTCAATGGAACAGAATAGAGAACTAAGAAAAACTAACCCAAGTACAGCTAACTGATTTTTGACAAAGGTGAAGGAAGAATTGTCTTTTCAACAAATAGTACTGGAACAATTAGAGATCTACATAGAGGTAAAAAATATTAACTTCAATCTAAACTTCACAGTGTATACAAAAATTAATTCAAAATTAATCATAAATCTAAATGTAAAACATAAAGCTATACAAATGTTAGAGAAAACATAAGAGAAAATCTTCAGGACCTAGGGCTAGAAGATGAGTTTTTAGGCATGATACCAAAAGCACAATCTTTTGAATAAAAGAAGAAAAGAAAATATTCTTAAATTGGACTTCACCAGAATTAAAAACTTTTTGCTGTGAAAAATCCTGTTAGAGGATGAAGACAAACTACAGACAGGGAGAAAATATTTGGAAACCATATATTTGACAAAAATATTATATCTAGAATATGTAAAGAACTGTAAATGTTAAACAGTATGAAAACAAATCAATTGGAAAAATGGGCCAAAAAAAAGCCTTTCAAAGAGATACACATGGCACATAAACACATAAAATGGTGTTCAACATCATTAGTCATTAGCGAAATGTAAATTAAAACCCCTATGAGATACCACTGCACACCTAGTAGAATAACTAAAGTTAAAAAAAAATCATAATAGCAAATGCTGGTGAAGATATAGAGACACTGGATCTCTCAGCTATTCCTGGTGTGAATGTAAAATGGTAACACTGCTCTAGAAAACAGTTTGATAGTTTCTTATAAAACTAAGCATGCATTAGTAAATATGACTCAGCAATCACAGTCTTGGGCATTTATCCTAGAGAAATGAAAACTTATGTTCACACAAAACCTCTACATGAATGTTCATAGCAGCTTCATTTGTAATCGCAAAAACCTATAAACAACTCAGATATCCTTCAATGGGTGAATAGTTCAATAAACTTTGGTACATCCATACAGTGGAATACTTTTCAACAATAAAAAGGAACAAACTATTGATATATACAACAACTTGGATGGATCTCAAGGGCATTGTGTTTTAGTGAAAAATTGTCTATCTCAAAAAGTTGCAAACTATACGATTCCATTTACATAACATCCTCAAAATGACAAAACTATAGTGATGAATAACAGATTAATGATTACCTGGGGAAAGAAACAGGGTGAAGATTGGGAATATAAAGGAAGCTCACTTGTGGTGATGGAACAGTTTTGTATCTTGATTATGGTGGTGGTTTTTACACACACACAAACACACGTACACCCCTTAAGAATCTCAAGATTCTTAATCTAAATATTCCCTTTCAGAGGAACCAAGATAAAATGATGTAGATGCTTCTTTACTTATTTAATTATTTTCACTGTTATCTAGAAGTAAAATTTAACTATTAATTCCCTTAGAAGAAGGGGTTGGATCATTTTGCGTAGATCAAGAAGCCCACGGATATTTAAAAATGAATTTATTATTAGCGTTATTACAACTTACAAACAATATTATTGTATGGGTCAGTCTATAGATTTATACTTAAGTAATTAAGAAACAATATGGTTTTTTAGTAATGTATCAACACTCTTTTCAGGATTTCTTGAGTGAAAATTTTAAATACAACATTTTAGTAGCAATTCTGTATAGAAAGATGACAGAAAGTACCAGAGCTCCAGAAAAGAGAAATCTATAGTCCTCCAAACAAAATTACACCCTTTTATGACCCTAATTCTTCTTTACTACACAACAGACTGGAAACTAGATTTCAAATCTAACAAGGTTCTTCAGTGAAAATAACACCAGCATAAGTGATGCTGTAAAGACTCCCTTCTTTTATTCTTTTTGTCTGAAAAACCACGTCATATGTGAGTAGTATATAAGGTGACAGAAGATTTAATAAAAGTTGTATCCACTCTCTTGGTACACCTTCTGTGGACAACATAAGATGAGAGGGAGAGAACACAGAACATTTTTCAACTTGAGATTTGTTCCAGACAAGAAGGAAAATTAAATGTTAAATCTGTTGTTTTCACTATAGGCTTCAGCATAAGATATCTTAGCTAAAAAAGTCCATAAATCCAACTGAAGTAATTGTATTATGGTAGAAAATGGGCACAGACTCTGGAGAAAAACAAGAACAGTTGGAGTTGATCTGGTTTGACAAGGTTAGTGACTAGGTGATCCTGGACAAGTTTTAAATGTTGTTGAATTTGTCTCATCATTTTACAGATGAGAAAACTGTGGCCCAGAGAAGTTGAAAGACTTTCCCTTGGTCACACAGCAATTTAGATATAGAGTAGGGCCCCAAACCTAGATTTCTTTTTATTCCCAACTCGTCCAATACACTTTCCACAGTACTATCCCATTTCAAAATGTCTGTCAAGAGGTTGATCCTTGGAGATATTGACATTCACAGTGTTACCATGTCCTTACTTTTATACCTGGCAAGAAATACTAGATTATTATATTTATCAAAAGTATATTCATTCTCACCATTAATTCTAATTAGGAACTTGATGCTGGTATGAATTGCTAAAATTTGTATCAGTTAGGATAGGCTGAATTATGCTAGAAAAAATATCCTGTAATTTCAAAAGCTTAAAATCACCAAAGTTTATTTGTGGTTCATGATACATGTCCATCATGAATCAGTAGAGGCTCTGCACCACTGCACTAGTCGTTACTCAGAGACTCTGGTTGATAGAACCGCCTACATCTTGAACATAGCTGGTGGCCACAGAGGGAAAAAGAGCTCCAGAGGGTCTCATCCTAGCAATGAAAAACTCCAGTCTGGAAGTGCCACAGATAATTTCTGCTCACAATTCTTTGTCAACAGTGGCCTCACCCAGTTAAAAGAAAGCCAGGTAGTGATATCCTACTCTTTACAAAGAAGAGAGGGAGAACTAGTTATAGTTGGTGAGCAGTATTAATGACCATCCCATGATCTGTGATGCATTATGGCCCTGTAAAGGGCTGAAAATTGTTAAGATTCACTAATATGAAAAAATTCCCAACTGTGTAGACAAAAATACTCTATAAAATTGTCACCATTTGAAGAGATACTGTCAGTGATTTGTGCTTAAATATAAGTTTTTTCAACCTTCAGGCATTCTCTAAACTTATGATAGGCATAAACATATGCCTGTAAATTTTTGGCAGGAATAACTGTTCTTCCCTATTAGTTTCCTTTTTACTTCCTGACGTTTTCGTCCTTGAACTCTGAGGACAGCTCCATAGCTGTCTTTATCGTTCTTGGAACTCTACACACTAATCTTTCTGACTAGCCCTTTTGCTTAGTTTTTTTAGCTGGTCGATACACTGGTTCTTAACTATAAAAGATGTCCTCTGTTGGAGTTGGAGTTGGATCATTTGATTACACAAAACACCAATAAAATATCATATAGATAGGAAGTTTGAGTGATATTGCATGGAGAGAGGAAGTTAGTGCAAAAGTGACAAGGAGAGAAAATATGAGGAAAATGGTGGGGGATGGAGAGAGGAGAGGCATTTAGGCTAGGCTTCATTAGAAATGGTGGAATCAATATGGTTATCTACTAAGATTAAAAAACAAGTCCCTAAAAGATTAAGAGATTTAGTGCTAGTGCCAGAGCAGTAAAATCATCAATTTCTCTTTATCCCTTCCATTTATCTTAGTTGAAAACAATCTCAGATATTACTACTCATTTCACTCCAAGAAGGCAGTGGTCTTCCATTTGGCACCGTGTTATCAAGGTTCTTCTATTCTCTGGCCCTGGCAGGAACACTCAGGGAATGGGGGCTGAGCTCAGTTCTCATAGATTTAGTCCCTAGGAAGTGACTACAATCACTAGATTTCATTCAAACAGGCCTAATAAGTATTTTTCCTACAGAATAGTCCCCAAATTATACTAGCTTCCCTAAAAATCAAAGGGCAAAATTGTCAAGAGATTCAAATATTGTTTTAAGACCTCCCACTGAAAGAAAAATGAGCACTCTTTCATTTTCTTTTGCATTTTTTAACCACCGTTATCTTTCCATGTAGTGTACTCTCTTTATTAGTTCCACAACAGATTCCCGGTGACCACTGACTAAACATTTATATTGATATATTTTTTCAGTGCTAGAAAGATTAATTAAAAAAACTGAGTTTTTGTTTGTTTTAAACATATCTTTCAATGACAGAAAGAATGTTTGTTAAATGGAATTAAAATGAAATAAACCAGATGACTTGGGCTGGCTTTAACCTACTTCTGAAATCCTTGAAACCAAGAAGTAATGTGAATAGCTTTATACTTCTATCTTTTATTGTTGGGATAAAGGTTCATTCATCTACAATGTAATATTCAATGTGCTGATAATAATATTTATTTGTAACTTGGGAAAAATTCAAAATTAGGTAATTTAATGCCTGAAGGGAGATCTCTTAAAGTGAATGCAATGCATGTTCTATGGAAATATTTTTGCCATAAATATCAGTGTCTTTACGGTAGTGAAATCATTTGTTTTATACTTATGACTAAAATTCACCCCCCTTTTTTTTTCATCTTGGAATGGCCCTCTTTTAATATGCTTTGTTTTAAGAATAATTTTATAGCAGGGTAATGGTGAAATAAAAACGTGTTACAAATTTAAAAAAATTATATTTGTTTGTATAGGTGGTTGAAGTTTGAAGAAGATGTGGAAGATGGAGGGGAAAGGTGGAGCAAGCCTTATGTGGCTACTCTTTCACTGCACAGCTTGTTTGAGTTGAGAAGTTGTATTCTGAATGGAACTGTGTTGCTGGACATGCATGCCAACACTTTAGAAGAAATCGCAGGTACATCCTTTTTTCTCCTTAGTCTATTTCACACTTATGGGTACAGCTGATTTTTGTAATTCCCTTTTTCTTATAATTCTATACACGTGTGACTTTTAGGAAATTAATTCTCATGATCAGTGTATAAGACCTCAAAAGTAACTTTGTTTTACCACCTCATTTAAGATAAAAGAAGTTGAATCTCAAAGAAATATGGTCTAACATGCCAGTGGCAAGTCTAGAACAAGAATCTATATACCTTGGTTTCCATTTAGCATGTATTGTTTTTCACCATCATATGTAATTAGACTGTCACCGTTAGAAAATTGAAGGAAAAATCCATAAAGCTAGAGACTGATTTTTTTCAGTATTCAAATACATGAAATAGCCAAATGAAAAGTTTCAGTAATTAGGAAAAATGTTAGCTTAGAATAGAACAGAAAGGTATGGCCATTTATTTTAAACTGAATTAAAAATCTTGAATTCCAGAGGAGGCCAAGTGATGCAGTTTAGATTAGTTTATAATTGAAACTATGGCTTGCGTCTGGGATGAATGATTTGTACTAGAAATCTATTATGGCTATATCACACAAGCAGTTATATTTAGGAAGCATCTTACTGTTACTCTGCAAATAAAAGCAAAGAACTCCTATATCTTTTCAGCTGGAAGACAAACATTTTAGTAAAAACAAAATAATGCCAAAAAAACACAGAAATGAGTTTTGAAAGGGTATAAACGTAATGGTTAATGGAGATTTTTAAAAATAAAAACAAAGCTAGGACTCAGGCAGTTTTAAAAATCCCTAGTTCAGAAAAAGATAAAAGCAGTTCCATGTGGAATTTATTTGTGGAGTAGAAAGACTTCAGAGAGACTTCAGTGTCTTAATTATATTGTAGAGATGGGAAAAAAAACCAAAACACTCTGTGTATTTTTGGATCACATAAACGAGAAAATATTGTATTAGAAAAATAATGTATCTAATTTAATCTTCAGAATAACCTCATAAAGTAAGTGCATTCCCATATTTCAATAAGAAAATAGAAATTCTGAAACTGTCATGGTTCAAGTTCCATTTAAGGGCCTCTGACTTTAAGCTCCATGTTCCTTCTGTTACACTACAACTACTGTCTGAAGAAAGAGATGGCTTGAAATGGTTGTTGTTAATTCCTTTAAAATTATTTATTTGGTTGTTGGTGCTGATAGGCATACATACATTGCAATATGTGTGAAAAAAAAGTAAGCATGGAGAGATATTTTGGCTCACAATATTAAGCACAAACAAAAAATCACACACAAAAAAAAACAGGTGAGCTTTCCTCCCCTCAGTTTCATACAACACTTATAAAGAGATTACACTTTAAAATACAGAACTAGAGCCTAAACGACGATATAAAGTTAAATACAGTATACTTTTTGGAAGAACACAGGATACAGTAACAGGTCACACTAAATCAAGACTTAAAGAAATGACTAACATGGAAATTAGTAAACTTCCTGAGAACGCTGGTATAGTAGCCATCCAATTCAATTTCCTAGCTTTACATTATGGGGTATTGCTGATACCCAGTAAAAATTTTTATGTTTTAATTATGAATGAAATGGCTGCATTCTTCCTAGTACTTTGCAGTTAAGGAAGCTCTTTTTAGTAATTCTACAACTATCTTTTTGATATTCAAAACAAACTTGGGGCTTAGTATTATTATTGTTATCCTTCATAAATAAAGTAACTCAGAAGGTTAAAAGTCTTGCCCAAAATAAGGAGTTTATTTCTGCTACTTATGTCAGTGATGCCATTACCTTTGAAAATGGATTAATTCAAATGAGTTTCGGATTGGCTGTATGTAATGAAGCTGTCAAATTCCTCAACCAGGCAAAATTAGCCTCAGAAAATTCTCTTCATAGTTTTACCAGGCTTTAAATTTCTTAAAACATGTAATTTCGAATGCTTTCTTTAGGAATTTATTTCTACCAGGAAATATTCTCCTGTTATAATTTGACTAAAACTCTGTTGTTTATCACCTTAGCTTGGTTTTGTTGTCTAAACTTATGCTTCCTTTCCCTAAACCTGCCCTCTTCCCCCAGCTCAACTCTGTAGGATATGTAAAGGTTGTTAGCTCTATTGAATCTAGCTTTTTAAAGCAAATTACATTTTCTAAGTCTATTCTTACAAATGAAAGTAGTTCAGTGGAAGTCTCAATATCCCAAATAGGTTTTTAGTATTCTTTCTTCTCTTCTAATTAGTCTGTATTTTTCTGCCTCCAAAGTAGACCAACTTTTTTAATGTCCCATTTTCAGTGTACAACAGTGTAAACTGCCATTCAGAAAAGGTCAGTAGTTTAGAGTTAACACCACGTAGGAAAATAGGATTACAAGTACCTGTGTTGATTGTTGTTTCCTTAGGTTCCTTTTCAATCATTAATGAGAAGAGATTCTCTCTCTTTGAGTAATTTTAATTTGGTGTATTTAATCCAAAGGTATTTATTTCTGCCCTCAATAAAATCTCATTAATACATTTTCTCTGATAGCTTGTAATTATTTTTATTGTTTACTTATTGATATTTTTACTTTGTGACAATTTAGCTGTATTACGAAGTGTGTAGTAAATGTTTTACATTTTGAAGACTTCTAACTTTGTATTTTCACATCCATTACTATAGTTTATTATCACAGAAACCTTATGAGGTAGGGAGGAGACTATTTCCTACATTTTATAAACAGATACATAGAAAGTGATACATTACAGGTAACACTTGCAGAGATGGGAATAATTTCTTTTGATTAATCTATAATCATAAATTTTGTTTTATTCTATTTCATGATAATTTGGGACCATAGTGATTAACTTTAAGGTTTGGAACTTTTTCTTCACCTCTTATTTATCATACTTTTCTACATGTTAGGCAGTTGCTAATGTATTAGTCGCCAGTTTCTGTTTTGCAAAAGCTAGATATAATCGTTAATCTTTAAGGGCTCTAAGCCCTAGTACTTTGCAAATGCACAGGCTCTGCAGCTTAGTGTTTTCTAAACATTTCCTAGTAGAGGGATATGACCCAGATATTGTTTTAGAATGGTCAAGGATTTTTATATCAATGTTCTGATATGTTTTTAATAGACTCTTTAATAATTCTTTAAAGAGATTTTTGTAGACTTAGCAGGGGAAAATCCCATTTGTATCTGGCAGGTCTGTCAAGAATTTCTGGTGTAATTAAAGTAGGATTTTCTTTTGGATAAAGTTAATTTTAAAGTGTCTATTTCCCAATGCTTTACAGAACTCAGAATAAAGTTAAACTTCTTCCTTCAAAATATTTCTTAACTTTTCAAATCCAAAATTCTCCAGATATATTTTCTTATCCTGATTTATTCTGATATGGAGATTAATTGTATTAAAAATGCTTCTCAATTATATTCATATAAATTGTAGAAAATTTTACGGTTTATGTTAATCTCTTTTAAATTCAGCACTGTAAAGATTAATAATGGAAATATTACCTCTGTAGTGTGTCTACTTTAACCTATTGCTGTCAATGAGGGTAAGATATTAAAACCAAACCAAAGTTAGTACCATGGACAGATTAACAATCATAGTTCTCAACTCATTAAAACAACTCTTGCTGTTTAAAATCTTTCATCAAAGGAAAAATCCACCGTTTGCTCCACTGAATATAGTCTGCAGATTTGGGAGCATGTTAATAGCCATATATATATATTTTAATGCCTATGCTATTACCATCCTTGGTCTGGAAAGTAAGTTTTCTTATGGTAGTTTACATTTTTATTACATACACTCCTGTTAGTAGTGTCAACCAAACTGTAAAATTTAGAACCCCCTATTGCCCACTTCTCCCCCAGCATCTTTGAAGACAATGGATTTTTAAGACAAAGAAATTATACGATCATCTTTAAAGAAGCGGAGATTTATATAGAGTCTGTAAAATTTCATGGTCTCTAGAGGCTTTCATTCAATAGTCAAATGGATTGATCGTGACAAAATAATTGCCTGATTAAGATGAAAAGTATTTTTTCACTTTCTGAGGTTTTTCTACACAAATACTGCTAGTTTTTCTGGAGCCTGTTTAGTGCTAGAAGACTGTGACCGATTTATCCCTTTTCTTCTTGCTTCTTCTCTTATCATCCAGATCCTGGCATTGAGCTTTGGCAGGCTGGACTGTATTATTTAGGCATCATAGCCTGCTGAGATTGTTGGTCTTGACTCTGGGCCTAAAGCCATTATGGCCCATTATCCTTTCTTACTTTTCAAGGTTAATACTAATATATATTATAGTGGTGAAGAGCACAATGTAAGTGATTAGTGAATCACACTCACTTTGATACTTAAATTTCACCTTAGCATAAGTTATATTCTTAAGCAAGTTGATTAACTTTTCCAGTTCCTTAAGACATTGCTTGGTCATGTTATACCTTAGAGGAGTTTGCTATGTATTTCTGTGACTAATGAGCAGATGAGTGTTCTTTTCTATTTATCTTATGTAACTGTTTTATATAAAGACGTTATCTCTGAAAAACTTTGAAGCTAGTGACTTATTTTTCATAGTGCTTAGGGCTGGAAAGATTGTGTTTTGATAAGAATGAAAAACTATGACCATGTGCATGTTTTATTACATGATTAATTTTTATTCTGATTAGAATATTGAACTGGGGATACATATCATGGTTTACAGATGAAACTGCTGTATGATGGTATCCTTTTGGTGTCTGAATAATCTACTTTACAACTCCTATTATGAAGTATATAATGCATATTTTATATACATTTTTCCATCTTAGCAAGGTTGCAGTGTAAAGTCATGTATGTTGACAATTTATCATTTCCTTTATTTCAAATTAATCCAAGGGTTTTATAACTACTGATCTCAAAAAAATTGAGATATAAGTTTAAATAGTCTATACTATCATACATTCTCAGAACTGGAAGAGACTTTGGAGGTAATTATAGTGGACATTATGGCTGACTCCCAGACATTCATTCTACCTCTTTCCATTGTAAACAGCCAAGTGATAGAACAAAGTTGGCAAATTATGCTCTCTATGCAAATATGGCCACTGCCTGATTTTGTTAGGCATGTGAGCTAAGAATGATTATTATATTTTATATGACTGAAAAATAATAAAAAGAAAATCAATATTTTGCAACATGAAAATTATATGAAATTCAAATTTTAGTGTCCATAAAAAAGTTTTATTGAAACACAATTATGGTAATTTGTGTACGTGTTGTCTATGGCTACTTTCATGCTATAAAAATGGAGTTGAGTAGTTGTGACAGAGATTGTATGGCCTGCAAAGCCTAAAATATTTATTATCTGGCCCATTACAGAAAAGGTTTGTCTACCTCTGGTTTAGGGAAATGACTCCACAGTGAAGGGCAGTTCTTCATTAGTCTAAGCCAACTGGGGATCCCATCTTCTTTGTCAGTGATTGGCTCAGCATAGACAGGACTATGTCAGTTGAGCTTAGAATTGTTCCTGGGTAGGGGGAAAAGGACTTTTCTTTTAAGAAAAAGTCACAAAAAGGCAAAGAATCTCTGATATGAACAAAGATGTGTATCTCCTTGTTGCTGCTGGCAGCCACCTTATGACCATAAGGAAAATAGCCTGAGGTTAAAGCTCACACCTCCAGGAGGGGGAAGCTGACAAAATCACAGAGAAATGGAGTTAAATCCAACCTAACTTCGGTTTTTCTGTTATGTAAGCCAGTGAAATTTATTGTTTTAGATAGTTTGATTTGGGTTTTCTGTTATTGATAAATCCAACTTTGCCTCTGCTTGGTACACTATTATAAAATACAGATAAATGATTTAAAACCAGCAAAAAATTTAAACCATGAACCCATAACCTACTTAAAGGAAATTGCAAAGAAAATCTTGTACTGGGAAATATTTACTGAGGGCCTCAATATTCCGATCAGTGCATTAGGTGCCTTATGTCCTGACAACAATGCTGTTATGAGATAGCTATTACCTCTGTCTTAGAAATAAGGACACTGCGACTATTCAACTTTACAAGGCCACACAGCTGGAATGTGGGACAGTGATCCAAGTCTGTTTCCCCAGTCGTTTCCTTTTCACACTGAAGGAAAACATTATTTGGAAAGGAGGATTCTGCTAATTTTCAAATCTTCAGTGTACTCAGTGGGGCAGCGGGAGACAATGCATTGTAATCTGCTTTACATAAGGAGTTAGCACCTCAGAAAATCAAATAGAGTTAATATTTGATCATATGAAAGCAGATTAATTACACTGAGGTTTATTGAGGTGATTTTTGTATTACCAAGAACTCATCTACTCATTTTCTAGGCATTTCTGACACATATGGTAAATATCAATCTGCTTAGTTATAGCCTTCTGAAATCTCACCTTTTATTCTTTGTTTTATGGGTATAGAAGGTTTTCTAAAATATAAACACATTATCAAGGAAGGTTTGAGAGGACTGACTTTATATTAATGTGAAAGAATTATTTACTCTCCAAATGCAACCAGCTAGGTAGTTGCCTAAGCCTCCTTGCAACAGATTTTAACCGATGGACTTAAGGAAGAAACATGGAAATTATTCTCTACTAGAAAAAGGGAGGAAAACCATATTGAAATATATGTATGAGGCTTTTTAATTTTTTTTTTTTAATTTTTTTTTAACATCTTTATTGGGGTATAATTGCTTTACAATGGTGTCTTAGTTTCTGCTTTATAACAGAGTGAGTCAGTTATACATATATATATGTTCCCATATCTCTTCCCTCTTTGTCTCCCTCCCTCCCCCCCTCCCTATCCCCCCCCTCCAGACAGCCACAAAGAACCGAGCCGGTTTCCCTGTGCCATGCGGCTGCTTCCCACTGGCTATCTACCTTACGTTTGTTAGTATATATATGTCCATGTCTCTCTCTCGCCCTAACACACCTCACCCTTCCCCCTCCCCATATCCTCAAGTCTGTTCTCCAGTAGGTCTCTGTCTTTATTCCTGTTTTACCCCTAGGTTCTTCATAACATTTTTTTTTCTTAAATTCCATATATATGTGTTAGCATACGGTATTTGTCCTTCTCTTTCTGACTTACTTCACTCTGTATGACAGACTCTAGATCTATCCACCTCATTACAAATAGCTCAATTTCGTTTCTTTTTATGGCTGAGTAATATTCCATTGTATATATGTGCCACATCTTCTTTATCCATTCATCCGACGACGGGCACTTAGGTTGTTTCCATCTCCGGGCTATTGTAAATAGAGCTGCAATGAACATTTTGGTACATGACTCTTTCTGAATTCTGGTTTCCTCAGGGTATATACCTAGTAGTGGGATTGCTGGGTCATATGGTAGTTCTATTTGTAGTTTTTTAAGGAACCTCCATACTGTTCTCCATAGTGGCTGAACCAATTCACATTCCCACCAGCAGTGCAAGAGTGTTCCCTTTTCTCCACACCCTCTCCAGCATTTATTGTTTCTAGATTTTTTGATGATGGCCATTCTGACTGGTGTGAGATGATATCTCATTGTAGTTTTGATTTGCATTTCTCTAATGATTAATGATGTTGAGCATTCTTTCATGTGTTTGTTGGCAGTCTGTATATCTTCTTTGGAGAAATGTCTATTTAGGTCTTCTGCCCATTTTTGGATTGGGTTGTTTATTTTTTTGTTATTGAGCTGCATGAGCTGCCTGTAAATTTTAGAGATTAATCCTTTGTCAGTTGATTCATTTGCAAATATTTTCTCCCATTCTGAGGGCTGTCTTTTGGTCTTGTTTATGGTTTCCTTTGCTGTGCAAAAGCTTTGAAGTTTCATTAGGTCCCATTTGTTTATTTTTGTTTTTATCTCCATTACTCTAGGAGATGGGTCAAGAAGGATCTTGCTGTGATTTATGTCATAGAGTGTTCTGCCTATGTTTTCCTCTAAGAGTTTGATAGTTTCTGGCCTTACATTTAGGTCTTTAATCCATTTTGAGCTTATTTTTATGTATGGTGTTAGGGAGTGATCTAATCTCATACTTTTACATGTACCTGTCCAATTTTCCCAGCACCACTTATTGAAGAGGCTGTCCTTTCTCCACTGTATATTCCTGCCACCTTTATCAGAGATAAGGTGACCATATGTGCATGGGTTTATCTCTGGGCTTTCTATCCTATTCCATTGATCTATCTTTCTGTTTTTGAGGCTTTTAAGTTTTAAACATGCTAATCATATTTATATTACTCCTGATACTATTCCCTCTCGTCAGTGTGAATAATGGAGAACATAAAGCACTTTGTTCTCTATACAACTATTCCTGTTTGAAAAATAAAACTCCATAAGATCATTACATATTTAAAAATGAATGGTTTATTTTCCCAAATCTTTCTTGTGTAGCATTTCTACAAAGAAAGACAAACTTCTGTTTCTAAGACCATACTTAGAGATTTTTTTAAAGGAATCCATTCCTACTTTAAGAGGAATAATATTATCTAGGGTACGCATATTTCGACTCAGTGGTTCACTACTGGAACATTACAGGAAAGCTGTGCTCATTTTCTTTCTACCTTCACTCTTCAGATATGGTCCTTGATCAACAAGTGAGCTCAGGTCAGCTCAATGATGATGTACGCCACAGGGTCCATGAGGCACTGATGAAACAGCATCACCACCAGAATCAGAAAAAACTCACCAATAGGATTCCCATTGTTCGTTCCTTTGCTGATATTGGCAAGAAACAATCAGAACCAAATTCCATGGATAAAAATGGTAAATATTTCTTTATTGTACTCTTATCGTTTATTATAGCTGTCTGAAGTATCAAAGTCCTTTAAAATATGTCTTACTTGAAAATGATCTATTGAAATTCAGATTGTTGTGGTAGAATTGTTTCTTTTCATATTCATGTATTGTTTTATTATCAGGTATCAAATTGTAGAAATTTTATTAACAAAGATTTAAAGTTTCCTGAAAGGCTCATGAAAGAATGCAAGGGAAATTTTATCTAATAAGAAGTTATACACTCAAATGTAGCAAACATAAACTGAGTGTCAATTGCATCACAAATAAGGCTCTAGTCTTTGTCTCATAGCTTGAGAATGTAATGCAATGCTTTGACGTAAGGTCTTTTAGTTAAAATGAATAATGATCAACATTTAGTGATTGTGGAAAAAAAGATATTGGCTTCATGTTGCTCATGGTCAACAAATCCCTTTCTAGATTACAGCTGAAAAGAGCAGCTAGTGCATTACTTGTGTCTCTACTTATATTAAGCCTGATTTCTAGTTCATGGGCTTGTTGCTCTTTGCAGTACTACATCATCAATGTCCACGGAGCCTCCGCACCTACCATCCTGGCTCACCAACATAGATGAGCCATTATCATTTGATAGTAAACAACCATTGGTAGGAATTGATAGAAAACAACCATTGTTTTCTAGCAGTCATTCATGACTTACTTCTTGGCAATCATGAAGCAAAAACAGTGTTTCTAGTTGTTTTATCCTTTCTTCTGTATTTTGTTCTCTCTTTGCATCCATTTGACCCTTCATCTTTTACATTAAGGAAGTTGCTTAGAAATCTCTTATCATTCATCCTTTCCATTAGTCTTGTGAAGGAAAATGAAGTTATCACGAGGATGATATGAATTGGTTATACTTCCGCTAGCTATGAAAGTTCCCAGTTTTAAAAGATACAAATTAATGAAAAATAATTTCAAATGTTTTACTAGAAAGACTCCGATTTACACAAATAGACTAAGCATGTGTATTGACAGCATGGACTTTATGTAATTTCACTCCTATTTTCAAAAGCTTCAGAGATGCTTTATATACAAATGCATGAAAAAGGTTTTTTTCAGATTCTGCTTTATATGGGAATTTTTACCAGTTTTCATACTACTGAATCAAATATACACAAGTAGAATAAATACTTTAATAAATCAATAAAGATGGTTAGATGTGCTCTTGTCTCAGAACACAGAACTAGTTCTAAATAATTTTTAAAATACTCATTTGATTTTTTTAAAACCCTTCAATGACTAAATGTGTAAATCGTTGTTATATTGAAGACTGTAGTTGTGCATATATTAAGTTCAATAAAAGTGTTATGAGTGCTTTATGGTATATACCAACTTGTATTTGTAGATCCCACTGGATATTTTGAGGATTTATAACTTGCTTTGAATTACATCATATATTTAAAATATATTCATATTTTAGATCACAATTTGCTTTAAAATATGTTATATATGAAAATGATAAAATGAAGCTTTTATATTCTGAAACTTATTATAAATATAGTACTTTTATTATGCTTACAATACTAGCATTTATTTGATATGATGATATTAAGAAAACAGATAAAGATATTTATGAATTTTGACTATGGACTTATGTCTACGTGATTCTAAAGACCTTATTAAAATATTCTCATTAACTAAATCTCTATGAATGCAAGCACATTTTATAAAAATAAACTTCTGCCTTTATTTCATTACCTTTACTGGAAATCAGACCATAAAATATATGTCTATGAGAATGTTATGTGTTTATTCAAAGATGGAAGGAAATCTCAAATTTCACTGGGGATAACGTTTACTATCAAATGATTTTATTGCATTATGTTTTTGGAGGGAAGAGGGTACTGAATTCACTGGATGAATTATTTTTTGTAATGTCATGTAGACCTGGACACACTGCTTGTTACAGCTCTAAACTTTCATTAAACATAAGAAGAGGTGACAGAATTATAGCTTTAAATCGTAAAGTCCACATATAGATACAGAGTTTTTCTCTTTTTTTAAAAATATATTTATTTAATTTATTTTTGGCTGCACTGGGTCTTCGTTGCTGCGCACGGGCTTTCTCTAGTTGCCGTGAGTGGGGGCTACTCTTCCTTGCGGTGCATGTGCTTCTCATTGCGGTGGCTTCTCCTGTTGCAGAGCACGGGCTCTAGGCGCGCAGGCCTCAGTAGTCGTGGCATGAGGGCTCAGTAGTTGTGGCTTGCGGGCTCTAGAGCGCAGGCTCAGTAGTTGTGGTGCACGGGCTTAGCTGCTCCGCGGCATGTGGGATCTTCCCGGACCAGGGCTTGAACCCGTGTCCCCTGCATTGGCAGGCAGATTCTTAACCACTGTGCTACCAGGGAAGTCCCCAGAGTTTTTCTGAGAGCCTACTTTTTGTCTTATTCAGGCAATTGCTTAGTTTTTCTGAAAACTAGAACATGAGTAGTTCTGAAATGATTCTGTCACCATCTGTACAATCAGCCTTTATCTGAACACATACAGATCCTTTTGAGGCATACATTAAGGTAATAAAAACTTGGAAACATTTCTAATAAGATTCATGTATCCAATTAAGTATTGTTGTAGAAGTGTTTTCCTAAGCCTGGGCTTATAACACCTCCTTGTGACTCTGTTTTGCTTCCTCAAACACTTTGCATAATTATGTGTGTTAAGAATTCTGAAAATGTGAATAGACTTCACCAATTTAGAAATAAATCTCCTATCCAGAAGTGAAAAGAAGTGCGAAAGACCTTTATTACTAAGGTTCTCAATCTACTTATGAACTCTAACAACTGATAAACTCTAGATAAACAAACAAATCAAAATTCATAGCTGTAAATATAGATTTGACATTCTGCTTCAAAATATGCAGTAGAGATTTAATTTTTTTGTGCAGTAGTACAGAGAGACACAGAAGGATTTCAATACATCCAAAATGGTAAAAATAATATTCTCATTATTAAAAAAAAAAACTCTTCAGTAGAGTATATCAAGCAAAAACTGACCTGTTTTTAAAATTAAGATTATAGACTAGGAATTAAATAGAGTGAGTATCTTCTAGAGACTTGAAAACAGAAAACATTTTCCTTGCCAAGCATAGGGATGGAAATAAGCCCCCTCTTGTTTAATATACCTTTTACTTTAGAAATGAAACAATTGAAATTCCCTCAGAAAACAAACTGATGCTTATATACAGAACTCTAAAAGAGTCATATAGAATAAAGTTTCTACTTCCTTAGTTGACCTGTTCCTTGAACATGCTACCTTGGTAGTAGTCCCAAGGGTTAAACATTCAGATATTTCAATCTGAAGACCAAATGGGGTTCTTTCCCATTTTATAGATTAGATTTACAAGATAGTGATTTTCTTGCTTCTCTCCTCCATCTGCACTATTTTGCTCATTACATTTTTAGTGATTTGTGATAATTTGTCAATCACTCCTCCAAATACGCTAGCTTAACTATTTTGTATAATTTTTTTCTTGGTGTACTGCACATTCTCTTATGGGCTAAGATGCCAGATGCTATGGATTCACCAGGCATTTTTAATGCCACCATGGTGTGTTTAACGTTCACGTTCCATTAAGCATCAAAACTGTGAGAATTAAGTGTCTGATTCTGATGTTTCAATAAAAAGTGATAGCTACATTTGGCAAAGCAACAGCAAAAAAATAATAGAAAAATCATATCTTCTTTAACATTAGAACTCTGAAAAGGATGTTGTGGAAACTACTTAAATATAGCAAGAATATTTGAATAATTTCTTGAAACTAGAAGGACTTTCTAAAATAAAAATAAGACTTTTGTTTTTAATGATCTAGAAAGCAAGATATACCAGTATTTGTATTCATCATTTAGGTCATACATTCAATTGTATTTGAGCCTTTGGCTTACAAGTCTACTCTAAAATATTATTACATTTTTGATAACCTTTACATTAAAAAAAAAAAAACTTAAGATTCAGTTTCCTTAGGTGTAGGGTGTCTTCATTCCACTGTTTCCTTTACTAATAATTCTAACTCTATTTCTTTTCCTTCACATATCTTTTCTCTCACCTATTCTGAGTACTTTCCAGTTGTCCCTTTTATTTAGGACCTTAAAAGGAGTTACGGAGCAGAGGGTCTCTGACTTACTTTCAAAACTATAGGTTACTGGAGAACATTTAGATTTGGAAGGATGGGATGACTTGGCTCTTTAGGCCTGCATAGATTTTAGCCCTTAAAGTAATGTACACTTCTGTATTGTGAATGATTTTTATTTATGGCTTTTGAAAATCAGTTTTATGGCTTTATAATTGCGTCTTTTTACAAATGCGGTACTTTTTTATTTTCAGATGTACAATGTTTTATGTGTGTTTAGATATTTATATGCTGTCTTATTTTTTAAATACTGTGGTCTCATAAATATCAAGAGTTTAAAAAGTATTCCTTATAATGTTTTATCTTGAAGAAAAAAAAGCTCAAATAATAATTCTTAGAATTACTTGAAAGAAAACATTTAAAAACTCATGTAGATGATAGAATTAAACATTATATAATAAAGGTGTTTTCCATTGTTCCAAAAAAAAAATCAGGATGACGTTGTTGACACAGCTGGTGGGTCTGTTGAGAGACTGTATTGTTGCTACTGAGTTTTGGAATCTGAAGACTAAGTCTTAACAGCAAAAATATTTCTAGTATGATGTGTTTAAATTTGTTATTTCTTATCTTACATTAATTATTTTCAGGCATACCAGTTTTTCTCCAACTTTAATTGTGTGCATACTTTCATGTTTTTGAAGTATAGCTGACCTAATCAACATTTTCTAAATATTTAGCCTTTCTTTCTTCTTGTTTTCTATTCCCATGAATAAATGTATTGTTACACATGTATGTAACTTTGTCATTCATTTTTATATTTCTTTATTTTGCTCTGTCTTGTGTCTGTCTCTAACAGGCTCATCTCATCTCTGTACCTCCCTCATCTCCTACCCTTTGGGTACTCTAAATGCGTTGAAGGTTTCTGAGGTAGTGTAAACCAGCTTGGTCTCTAGGTTAATAGTAATGTACCTCCATGTCTTCATCCCAGTTTCCTTCTATTACACATGATTTTCAGTGGATTAAGCAGTAGCAAATACTGATATGCTTCAGTGGTATCTTATTCTCCTATTGATTTGAATTTGGCTAAATAGAAATTTAAAAGCTGCTGTTTTATAATACTTATATATGTAATTTATTTAAAGAGGAAGAAAACTATAAGTTTATGGTTGTCTTTCAATACTGAGATGCTTTAATGATACTGACACTACTTAAAGTAGAAAACAGTAATTCTGACACAGTCTCATGCTCTCTCCACAACGTTATGATGAGGGAAATGACTCTGCCAGTTTCACAATGGACTTGGTGAAAAATTTTTTGTGTAACAAACAGAAAAGCAGAGCTTCCATTTTCTAGTTGGAGGTTGCTTGAATTACTCTCAGTTTTCTCCTGTGCTTGCCCAAATCTTTTATGATTTGCCTTGGAAAAGTACATGGCCTATAATAACTTTTTATCTAATTTATATATGATCCCTACGTGGAGGTCCAGAGGAAAAATGAATTCATGACTCAAAGGAAAATTAACTCAAGCAGTTGCTGATATGAATACTATATAATATGCACTTTAATTGATAAGATGTATAATAAATATTGGAATTTTGGATTTAAGATGGTGAACTCTTTGAATTTAAAAGGTTGGAAAAATTAAAATATATGGTAAATATATAAGGATGATGTTAGGTTTCTCAAATGTTTACATTCAAATAGTCATGAACATGTCTCAATTAATAATAATAGTGTCCAATTTTCATTAGTTTTTGAATAATTTACCCTGAATATAATAAAGTTTTAAGTTAATAAATGTCTCTTTTTGGATAATCATATTAATTTCTCAAAGTTGTTTAGATATTAACAGATGTGATTAAAAATTGCAATGACATTTACTTATAGAATATATTAGTACGGACAGTGATGAGTGGGCACAGTGAAGGTAATATAAAGAAATAGGCAAAAATATGAATGTTCAAAAGCATTGTGGCATATTGATTAGAAAAATTATCATAAAAAATAGCATTCATAAAACTTCCACACGTATATGGGAATTCTAAATCCTAACTTTATACTATTTTGTCTTGGAGGGGGGAAAATCCTAGCAAATTCTTTGTTATCCTTTTAGGACACATATTCACTTTCTGGCTGAATGCAAAGTCCTGTACCTGAAAATTGTCTTCTATGAACTAGTGTTGTTTTAGATATCAATGAGAAAATGAGAGATGCCCTTTCAAAACCTAAATTTACTGATTCTTCTTATGTAATAGTATTTGAGTTAATGAAAGTCATTTTGAAATCTAAGCCCATCACCTTCTTCTGAAATGCAGTGATAACTGGACTGAACTAAAGAAATCAGTGTTTAGACAGAAAAAGATTATAGTTGATAACAGAATTATAAAAATTATTTAATTTATGAAATTTCCAGTAGTTAGACTATAATTCATGCACAGGCTTTAGATGGATAGGTAGGTAGGTAGGTAGGTAGATGGAGCAAATAAAATTTTAAGCTTTGTTTAAAGGCTTCAAGTTATTCAAAATAACCCAAACCAAACCTCTCAGTTTAATTTTTAAATAATAATACCTATGCATTTTTCAGGTTTTCAGTTACTGCCTTGAAAGTATACACATTTAATATGTGTTGTTTCATTTTAACAAATTAACATACACATTGAGAAATAAGATTTGGAGTACTTTTTAAACTTTGATGAGATTAAATGTACTTAACTACTAATATTTACTAATATTTAACTATTATCTCTGAAATATAAGAGATATCAAACTTGTGGTTTATATTCCTATGTCACAGGCTGGTAGTTTTTACGCTTTTTTCCTGCATTAGCATACATTCCATGCACATACCTAGAATCTAGAAGTAGCAGGGAGATTTCTGTCATCTCGTATATCTCCTGCTGGTTAAATACTCTCCACTAGGTCATTATCCATATCACTTAAAATAGTCATAGAAAATATTTTTCTAATCCCTTCCTGATTATCAACTTTATGAGGTAATATTTTGTAAAATTTTCAGAACAAGAATAGCATTGAACAATAAATCTCAAATATATTAATACTTACAAGAGGAAATACAAGTGCCAATATTTTAAACATATCTCATGAGCTGAAGGTAATTTATGAAATATTCAGCTTTTAAAGTATATATGTGAAAACATAGGCTATCCAATTTCTTCAAATCTTAAGTTACAGCATATTTTCTATCCAATGAAATCTCTTCAAAGTTGATGAGTTTGTACTGGGTTGACTATTTTTGTATATTTGCTGATTGAGTTAAATAATTGTTCTTCCATGTAGTTTTATATCACACGAAATAAGTTATTATAAGAAAGCAGATATATGTTTATTTAATTTAGCCATGCCTTGAATTTCACTGTTCAATTTTACAGAACATTCAGTAAATTTAGGTTTAAATATATCTAATGTTCTAACTCATGAAAATATGGAGAAATGATGTGAAACTGGTGATTGAAGACATCTGTTAGTAGCACAAATGCATTATGTAAAAGGTTTTTTTAAAACTACAGTTATTATTTTGGGAATGATATTAAATGGCTGCTAATGAACAGTTCACAGTCATAGCTGCACGCTGCAGTTAGAAATGGGAGAATGAAAATAACTGGTGCAGCTTAAGTCTGTCACTTCTCTAAAGTTAATATATCTTTTTGGAATTCACTGTAATCAGAATTTGTGTTGCAATTATACTCCAATAAAGATGTTAAAAAATTATAACTTTTATGTACTTATAAAATTATACTTTATATTGATAGATGTGTCACTTTAGAAATTGTTTAGGATTGCATTACTCTCAGATTATTATGTTCTAAATCTATGTCATTTATAGAACTGCTGTATCATGTAGGGTCAATGATCAATTCTACTGAACTGAATTCCCTCTCATAGTCTAGGGTAAGACACCTCCCCTATAGGTCACAAAAGAGCAGAATATCCTAAAACAAAAAAAAAATTTGTGTACATGGTTTAAGGTGAATTTGCTTTTAAAATCATTTGAAAAATCTTCACCAAATGTATTACTTTACTTTGTTTAGTGAAAGCAATAAAATATTTAAATTTTAGAAGAATCTTAAGCCCATTATTCTCTGGCAATATAACAATTTTAAACCATAAAAAAATTGTACCTATTAATAAATGACCCCTGCCTGAGAGGCTTAATAGTTCAAATAGCCAAGTTATAGTAATATTTGAAAGTAAATTATCAGTGTTTTAAGTCACACTTAAATTCTAGTTAACAAAGAATAAGTGGATTTCAAGAGAATTTAAAGAATTTAAAGAAGAGGTATTTGTATATACACTAGCAGTTTAGAGAAATTCAGTAATTGGAGAAGATGAAACTAAAGGTAAACTTGGAATAAAGTTGGGATTTAGGCAGGTAGAGGGAAGAGCTAGGCAGAGAGAAGAGAAAATATTCCCATCTAAGACAGATGAGAATAAGAGCAGTATTTTTGAGTCACTGAGTTACGGTTATAAAATATGGTCAAGGCTTCAAAGCTGGTTTGTCATTACTTGTATCACAATAAAAGTAACAAGTGAGGTTGGAGAGAGGTTAGGGAAAAGAGAGATACATGTGAAATTAAGCAAGCATCGTTAACTTTTATAATTTAATTGCTAAATATGGACAGATTTCATATAAGCTGTGATTGAAAAGACTGTTTCATATTTAGTGAATAATGGAATGTAATTACCCTTGGTTAGCTGTTGTCACATTCTCAGCTGTACTGTCCACTTAACTAATATCATAATCTTTCTTATAATGGGGAAAAGACTACAAAATAATTAAGTTGCTGGTTAGTGTCAATGGAAAACACATACAATTCAAATTTATTGATCTCTTGTCATGCAGACCAATATCAGTATGCTTACACAATTGAATAGTGAGAAGCATAATATCATATTCACAGTATTCATAGTATGTGAGGTAAAGGTATTTCTATCTGAATCTCTCATATAGAAATCTCTAAAAGTTGTTGTCAAAGAATTTTTTCTCTTTGGTTTGTTTTTTTCAGATGCAGTAGAAGCTATAAATATGCTATGTACTTTTCACATAAATATTCGCCTTTTAAAAAAACAACATTACATTTGGGCTTCCCTGGTGGCGCAGTGGTTGAGAGTCCGCCTGCCGATGCAGGGGACACGGGTTCGTGCCCCAGTCCGGGAAGATCCCACATGCCGTGGAGCGGCTGGGCCCGTGAGCCATGGCCGCTGAGCCTGCGCGTCCGGAGCCTGTGCTCCACAACAGGAGAGGCCACAACAGTGAGAAGCCTGCGTACCGCAAAAAACAACAACAACAAAAAACATTACATTTAAAATTCTTCAGTCTGAGCTTAAATCATAAGAGATGTCTATCTTGTCATATATACACATCTGCATATACATATACATATATATCCCAATAGTTCTGGATAAAATTTAGAAATCACTGATGTTTCAAAACCATGATTAGATTAAAATCTTTTTGTAGATGTTCTTTCTTCATAAAGAATAACTATTTAGTTATAGAGTCTTAATCTGAGAATTAGTTTACATTTTCTTGACTGAATTCTCCCGTTTCTATCTGTAACTGATAAATAAGAATATTTGTATTTATATATATCTATTTATATTGACCCTTCATGCTTACTTCATTAAGAAACCTATGTTGGTTTAGTTTAATTCATATTTCACTCAATATGTCTAGAATTATGTAAGTAATTGTTTGTATTCTGTAATAACAATCTCTTTCAGCAGGTCAGGTTGTTTCTCCTCAGTCGGCTCCAGCCTGTGTTGAGAGTAAGAATGATGTGAGCAGGGAAAACAGCACTGTTGACTTTAGCAAGGTAAGCTTTTCTCCCTCTCATTTAAGGAAGCCTCTGAGTTATTACTAGAAACTATCAACCATTTTAAGAGGTGTTGACACAATTTTTTTTGCATGCACATTTGTTTTGTTTCTTATCCAAAGCTTGATATTGTTAACAGATAATGTTAGCATTTAAGTTCACATGTAATGTTCTGCCTATTCACAAAACCAAACGTGTAAGTTTTATGCATAGTCTTCAGGTTTCAGCCACTTGGTGTGATGCATCTCTTCCAGTAAAAAGGATAACTGGACTTCACAGAGAATTTAACAGAAATTTATTGTTTAAAACTTTTGCTAGTTTTTTTTTTTTTCAAAATAATTTTTCCTCTATTTGTGGAAAAGCAAATCATGTAACTTAAGGCTTCACTGTCGTGATTCAGAGAAAGGCATTAGTGTTAAGAAACACTAGAACATAGTAAGACTGAGCAGAGTTTTAAATAAAAACATAATAAAGACTGTTGAGAGATCCATCTAATTGGAGACAATTCAGATGAAATCATTTATTCTAAGAAAATAATGCATGTGAAAATAATGTGCTTTTCTCAGCAAATTCCTGACATCCTATATGTGCTATTGCAGGCAGTGGCAAGCTAACAGTTAATCAGGAAAGAAGAGTTTTAATATTCACCAAAAATAAAGAGAGTCAACACCTTTCTTTATCTGAGTGGCTGAAACAGTAATCACTCCGAGTAATTTGTTTTTCACAAGGTCCTTAGCACTCCCAAGGATTGTAACAGTGGGAGGAGGTGGGAATGGGAGGCAGTGTGTAGGAAGTTGCCTGCATCAAGCTTCTGAAAAGATTAATAGCGATCAGCTCCTTGCTGCTGTTTCAGAATCCCTCTGCCAGTGCCAAAATGGTCTAGGTCCAGTACTGTGCATGCTCTCCCTCTGGTGCCTGGTGGAGTCTCTGTGGGAGCATGGTGTACCAGCTTAAGTCTGTTAATTATGCGTGCAGGGGCTGGGAGGCCAACAAAAGGGGCATGCTAGTCCATGTGGGATGAAACAAAGGCATGAAAAAGGACCTCAACACCAGCAAGAGAGAGAGGTGAGGGCACACTCGGGCTCTGTTTCTACAGTGGTTCAAAGCTCATCTCACCTTATGGAGGCATGTGATTCAAATATTAAGCCAGTTCAAATGTATTCCATTTCCTCTCCAAAAAATATCTTTTTAAAGCATTACATCTTCATTCATCTGCAAGTTGGAATAAAATTGTCGCAAACTGCCATACATTTAATTTCTGATGTTCTTCATTTGAAATAGGATCTTAAAAGCAAGGACATAAGAAGTTTCTTACTTATTTGTGCAGGCATTAACAGTATAACAAGAGCACAGTGAACATTCTCAAAAACAGTGATAATAAATCCCATCCTTTCAAATCAAATAATTAGCTTTTACCTTTTTTTAAAGGATATAACCCTTTGACACTGAATTTTATATCTCTATATCATTTTGCTTTTAGTTGTCTGACCTAGTTTTGCAGCCTTCAAAAACGCTTCAGTACATTTGAAAGAAAATGAATATAGCCAATTGGAGACAGTGGTCTTATTTTCAGGGCTCCTAGAACAATTTGAACTATAGAAGAGTGAAAAATAGATTTTCTTTTCTTTAATCCTTTTCTTATTGCATTTCAAATCACTGGACTGCTCCAGTTTTTAATGAGAAAGTTAAATTTCCACAGCCCTCAGTGCCAACCATCTATATTTCTTAGTCTCTTGTCCGTAGCATGGCACATTGCAAAGAACATGCTTTTGAGAAGGAGCATGGGATCCTAACTCTAGCATTTGTAAGCTATCTAATCTTGGAGGAGTTCTCTGACTCCATCTTTCTCATTTGTAAAATAAGAATAATATCTACTTATAATTTTGGGGGGAAGATTAAGTGAGGGAATATATAGAGAGAGCCTGGCAGAGTGTTGGGCTTATAGCAGGTGTTCAATAAAATGTGGCTACTATTATTATTGTTGTTGTTGTTGATATCAGTGGGAACAGCAGTGTCAGAAGTAAACACTAGACCAGAATTTAATATGTTTTGGCCCCCACTGGATCTCCAGTTCCTTGAACAGTGTTTGGGATGTACATGTTGAGTGAATCCTATGAGGTTCAATATAATTTAAGCCTTCAGCTCTGGATTTTGGGGGGTTTTTTGTTGAAAAACAAAGTAATACTTCTTACCTTATAACCCGGAAGGACAGAGTAGTAGGACTTGGAAAGAACAAATGTAATGCATCATTATCGAAACAAACTTTAGTGCCAGATTTTGCAGGTACATGAGTTAAGGTTTTTGAGCCTAATGATTTCAGTTTGGTAGTAAATTTATCAAAGTGAATCTATCAGTTAGTCTACAGATTACTTTGTTTCTTTAAATATTTTAAGTTTTAATATGTAGATTCCAAACCCCCGTAGAATTTTGAGATGTTAAGGGAAAAAAGTCCTTTTTCATTTCATGTGACTTGATCCTATGTTCTGTCTACATTCAAACTATATATTTTTAACCCTTACAGTGGTTAGGCCCATCAAACTTATTCGTTTAAGGAATGTTTGAAAACATGATCTGAATTGTCAGGTGTTTTGATTCCTATAATGCTTTTGAAAAGCAGATGTGTTATGTTTTTAAACTGACAGGTAGAAGATGGCTATTTTATTATTTTCCAAATGTTGGCGATTTCTTTTATTTCAAATGACTTAAAGAAACTTCCACATTATTTTCTGTGTAGAAAGAACTCTTTTCGGCATCAGTCTTTAGTATGTGAAATATGAAGAATTGCATTATTAAATCCTAGAATTGTAGGGAACCTTAGAAATCTCATTTAGAAAGTGAGAAAAGCTGAATCCCAGATTAAGAGAGCTGCTCAAGATCACTGGTTGGTTAGTGTCACAAGACCATTTCTCCCCAGGGAATTTCTATTACTTTTCTTGTACTTTCTATAATGAGCTTAAGACTTAAGCTTTCTCCCTAAAGACCCATCTGCATTTCTTTCACATCTCAGCGTGTAGCTTGTCCAGACACTTCCAGTTCCACCAGGATCTTCTGTCTAAACTTGTTCCCTAGAGATATAATTGTTTCTCATCCACAACTTAAGTATCAAATAACCAGAATAAAGCATCTTTTCCTTCTTAGCATAAGGTCTGGAGACCCCAGAAGCATGAGTATAAATCCAGATCCATAAGAGTATAGCTTGATTTCTTCAAGATTCTGTTCGGAGGACCAGAAAAATTTCCTTATGTTTATTCTGTATTTGAGTCCACCTGAAGACTGTCTTAAGGCTGTAGGTCAACCTAATTCCTCAGAGCTGTTTTTGATATTTGTAGTTTTATAAAAGGTTAAACTGTGGTCCTTAAATGTGATCTTTTGTTATATTAAAAGTTAGGTTGCCAAATAAGGTTCTTTAAGAATCGTATGTTAACACAAATACAAATATACAGGGCTATCCCAGGAATAATATAATATATAATTGTATAATATAATTAGATAATATGTTATATAATCTATTACCCCCAAATATATGACTACTCTAAGAATAATGTAATGAGTATAATATAATGACTACTCTAGATATATATTATTTAACTATAATTTATTACATTTTAAATCAAGATAAATTTGCTAATCCTGAAATTAAATTCAGTATATTTAATGCATTTTTTCAGTAACAGATATCAATCAATGATATATTAGGTATTGTATAATGCAAAAAATAATATGTAAGGACCATGTATTTTCTTTTATAAAATTAAGCTATTTTAACATACTGGTACTCCTTGATTTAATTAAATTGAATCTTAAAGCAGTCATGTGTGTAATTGCCACCTGCCTGAGGTACAGACGCTAATAGTTAAGGCTATGGCATTTGTCAAGAAATAAATGAATTCACAGAAAGTTTTCCAGGTTGAACTTAAACTTCTCATTAGAGTTATGACAAGTATTACCAATATGACTCACACTGATTATCAATTATAGATCTTCTTAAAAGGCTATTTTCTCATTTTAACTTTTGTTCCAGTGTATTAACATTGTATAATTGTTATTTCTATTTAGGGGGGAAAACTTAATAGTTTACTTTTTTAGGCTCTGAGAGACTTATCTCCATAAGTCTTTATTATGTTTTTCTCACAGGGCTAATAGTGTATAGGTATTACGAGCTTACAAATTTGTATTTGGAAGCAAATTTTTAGGTTAAAAACTTTGGAATTTATAATCTTTTTCTTTGTCTTTAAATAGAACATTGCTTCTATTTGATATTTTTAGTGAAGTATTGTGGATTATATTTAATCCTTGTGATAAAATGTATACTTCATATAATGGGTTTCATGTTTTGTGGCTCCCTTATCTTACAGAAAATTAAGTAGTTATAAACCTTCTAAATAGCTGTGCTGTGGTCTTGATTTCAGAAAACAACAAATTTAATGTAGTCACTAAAGTCTGGCTATGGACATCCTAAGGTATTCCTCCTAAAAGTTTTAATTTTTCTTTCATTTTAAACTGCTTGGAAAAAATATTCTCAAATCATTAAATTTGCAGAAGAAATATCTGACCGAAAAAAATGTCTTGTTGGCCTCATTGTATTTGCCAGAGCTCTTCTCTCTCTCCCTCTCTCCTCTTCTTTCTCCTGTTAATTTTCCTCTCCCTTCCCCTCCATTTCCTCCTCGCCCCCTCAGCCGCCTCTCTCTCCCTCTTTCTCCTTCTCCTTCTTTTCCTTCTCTCTGTCTCTGTCTCTCTCTCCTCTTCCCACTTTTATCTTTGGTCCCCATTTCATTAACATGAGAGCATAAAAACAATTATTACAGCAGTTAAACTATTATTCTCCCTGCAAACAGGTTTCCATTAAAAGCCATTCAAATGAATTAGAAACAAGAAATAGGCCTTGTAAAACTGACTTGAAAATCACTGCTTGGTTTTCACTGAGGCTCTCTGTATGAAAATTGATATTGATGCTTAAGAATATTTTACATTCATTTTCAGACTTCACCCTTTACTCCAAGCATTTCTTTTTGTTAATGATGCTTTTGTTTTGTGTGCATTCATTTCAGTCACAGACATTTCATATCAGAAATTCAACAATGGCTCTTCAGCAACTCCAAATGTTAACATTTTTATTCTTGTTTCCTTTGCTCTGCCATATCTAAATTCTCTGATGAGAGATTAAAATTGAAGATTGATCAAGCCAAGTATAGAATGTGAAGGATATAGAACAATTAAGAAAAAGTTAAAGTCATAATTTATACTATAAGGATAATCATGATTATATTCCTTTTGAAATAGGCATATTTTGAATATTAATTAATTGAAATGTATTGTGCACAGAATTAAGATAATGTACTATGCAAATATTTAAATCTATTGACAAATGCTAGTTAAATTAAGATTAAAGTATATTCATTTAATTGAACACATCCTCCTTTCTCCATGAAAATTTCAAGATTACTGATGCTGAAAAAGAATCTTTTAAGAATATTGAATAGAGAAACTAGAGTATTCAACATATTAATGACAAATTAGAAAAATACGAGGTAGAAGAAAAAAGTTTTTTTTTCAAAGGGCAAGTAAGATGTTTAACTATTTTTACATTTATTTAAACTATATTTATATAAGCAATATTTATTTAAACTATGTTTATTGATGCGTTACCATGTGTGAAATACTGTGCTAGGATATGATTTAACAAATTTTTCCAATTTTGATTTACCTTATTTTACTTTGTGATGATCTCAGGTTGATCTGCATTTTATGAAGAAGATTCCTCCAGGTGCGGAGGCTTCAAACATCTTAGTTGGGGAATTGGAGTTTTTGGATCGAACTGTAGTTGCGTTTGTCAGGTTGTCTCCAGCTGTACTGCTTCAAGGACTGGCTGAAGTCCCAATCCCAACCAGGTACAAAGTATAAGAGCATCTTTTACACTTTTCTTAAGCCATTTATTTGTGGGAAAAAAAGGTGTAAATATAGTTTCCTCTGAGAGCTTTTTCTAGAAACTAAAGTGTAATCGACAAAACTATTGTTTCTTCTTGTTTGTGGAGGAGGGCAAAAAGTGCTTTAACAATTATTCAGTCCTTTCCTCCTTCCTCTCAAATTTCTATGTTTTCTTTTAGGCATGCTCCTCATCTCTGACTACCCTGGTCTATATCACCATATAAATCCTTTCTTACAATTTTGGTGAAAAGTGATAAAGTATTAGGCTTTTCTCAAAGATTGCATTAGACTGTGGGATCCTGTATATGAGTGTGATCGTACTTAAAAAGATCAAAGTTTTCGAGGCCTGACTTATGCTTGACTGAGTAGGCCCTCAGAGTACATGTAAGTGCCATCATTAGGATACTACCTGCTGTATCTAATGTACTATAAGATTCAATCTTAGGCATAGTATACTTCACATACATAGAGTCTTAAGAATCATTGGTAGTAGCATCATGTTACTGTGGTTGAAGCTGAATCAAAAGTACAAATTTAATTTGATTACCTGAACTTGTTTTTCATTCAGCTGTACATAAAAACTAACAACTTTACCACAATACAAACTGAATTTTGTTGTTTATTATTTATCTCTATGTTATAGAGATAAGACTCTCCATGGGCAAATTGAAAAAAAGAATATTGTCTACAGAACATTAGGTTCCTAGCAGTTCCTCCAGGGGACCTTGTTTTCTTTCCTTCTCCTTCCATCAAATGCGATTCCTGTATATAGACAGCCTTTCACTCTGATCCTGTTCCCATAGCAAAACATATCTATGTAGGGCCCCATTTCCTACGTGACTGCTGCCCTTTGTTTGATGCTATAATTATTTCAGATGCTGTTAATATGCCTCCTCGTCCAAACACTAAATGCCTTAGCCAAGTTAAATTGATGAAAAGTTCAGGTGCTGTGGCAACTGGGTTTGTAGAATGTTTCTTCTACGGACCTTTGGCCTTAAAACATAGCAGATTACATCACTCTGTGTTTTGATTGTGGTTACGATATTCCAAAAATATGGAATAGTTTAGTCAGGAGAGGCCTCATTTTATTAGAGCTCAGCTGACTGGAAGGGGATTCAGTGTTTGAGTGCCTCTTCCTGAATCTGTGGAAGAACAGATTTGAGACAGGTAGCTAGTTACCAATTCAGGTTATAGAGAGAAGTGTCTGTTCATCCTGTTGGAGGGCTACTGAGACTTCTGATACATACCAACTTTTATTTAAAAAGGGGAAGGATGAACTGGGCACATTAAGGTGGCCTCTGAGTGTATGATTAAGGCTGCATTTTTCTATTTACACCCTGTAATCTATTCAGAGTTTCTGGGAATTTGGGATTCAGATTTAAGATGTGAAACTTACTAACCATAGAGGTATTACTTTAGTAGATTAAAATTCTTTTGCATCTTCCAATCAGTGCATTCTTGTTCTACCACTTAGGAAGGTATCCGATGAACTCTGAGTAAATGATGGATATTTATGACAATGATAGCTCTTGTGTTTCAAAGGAAAGAAAAGGAAAATTCCCAAGAGTAGAGAAAAGCCATAATGGGGTTATATACCCTCACTTTGAAAACTGTAAAGGTTTAGGTGACCTCATTTCATACTGACATAGCAAAATGTGTCTACAGAACAATGGAGGAAAAATTAGGGGCACAGTAGAGTCACTGTATGAGGAGAGATTTAAAAGACTAGACTAGTTTGGAAAGGTGAAAAATAGAAGATTAGTTAGACAGATAAAGAAAGCCATTCAAGGTTCCTAATTATCCTTTCTTAGGAGGACAAAAGGGCACACCGTGTATGTAACAGCAACACATAGTAAAAATGTCAGAAAATAATTTTAGGACTTTATAAATAGCCCATGGAATAGAAACCTGAAAAGTAGCAGGATGTACATAGGTTAGGAAATTTCTTGAAAGTACTATACTTGATAAAGCATCTGCCAGCACACTAAATTATTCCTGTTTTAAATGTATAGTAGACATTTCTGTACAGCAGAAGTTGACTTGGATTCAGTAACATCTGACACAAAAAATTAATGTCACATCCTCTAAGACTGTGTAATATATGCATCATGTAAAAACATGTACAATCTCTAAAGTTTATAACTAAATGAAAGGTAGAATTGTAACACCTAAAAAAGCCATTAGTCTTCACACTTAAGAGCAAGAACCATTTAACAAATAAATACTGTAGAGTTATATTACAGAATATAGGTCATCTTAAAATTCTCACAATTTCCCTGGAGCATTGACCTTTTCAGAGATAAGACAATTACTGGTCCTCCAAAGTTAAAACACATGTTGATTTCTCAAAAGCTCCAGTTGTGATGATGTATTTGCTAGACTTTCAACCTAATTGAGATGGAATATCACAGTTCAGCTGCTACTTTTATTCCTGCAGCATTGGAATTAATAGGTTCTTTTTTTTTTTATCCTAACTGATCTTTGATTCCCGGCAATCATTTTTTCTATTTAATGTAAATTTACATACACCTACTGCTTTTTTGACCCTATGTTCTTTCATTGTTTATACTACTGTATTACCTTTTTCCTCTTCTACCTAATTCTACAATTTACATATCAGTGAGTTCTCTTTCTTACAATTCAGAAAGGTTTAATCAGATTTTACTTTTCTCAACTTTCTCCCCTAAGGATTAAGAATACTAAAAATTCACACTAACAACTGTGTGGGCATAATAGGTAACTAAATGAAGGAAACAGAGCAAAATAACCACGATTCCAATTGCTCAAGGATCTCAAGCATGAGTCATTTTGAAACATCATAAAATATTTCAAAACCTGTAATAATAACCTGTGGAAAAAATATGGAACTATTTTACATCGAAATCCCTATCTTCAGTAATTCCTTTGAGATGAGTGATTCTGTACTACTAAAATTATTTTTTATTTCTACCTTGAAACATTTGTGGTTTTTTTCTTCTTAATTACAGATTTTTGTTCATTCTTCTGGGACCCCTGGGAAAGGGGCAACAGTACCATGAGATTGGCAGATCAATTGCAACCCTAATGACAGATGAGGTATTTATTCAAGTTCATTGGGAACATTTCCCTTTACTAGGTACACCTGACTTTTGGAGTTCTGTATTCATGACAGTTTGCTGTGAATCAAATTTCTCTGTATTGAATTCCCCTTCTTTTAAATGCTTGTACTATAAAATTTCCTCTGGAAAAATTTGTTCAAAAGGGGTAATAAATTCACACACATGAACATTTTAAAACCTCATACTCTAAAGAAAATTTGTTATTTAGTGACATTGAGAATGTATTTATTAATATTCCCCTTGTAGCATATGTGTTGCCAAAGTGATCACCATTGTAAATATCACTGCAGGTCTTGTTTGGGGCAAAATAATTTTAAGGTCTCAAAAAAAACAAAAAAACAAATACAATGTCAGTTTATCTGAATAGTATACATGACACCAAAAGCCATGCAACGTCTATCAACTCTCTTTATAATTGCCTAAATGTAGATGTTTTTAACCTGGGAGTCTTTTAACCATCAGAGGAGCTAAAGATTTCAAAAGGCCTGTGATCTCTGATACAGCCCACAAATTTCTCTATGTACAAAAATTTGTGTGTAGTTTTCTTGGAATGGAAAAAGCTTTCATCAGCTTGTCAAAGAGATATATGTCTCAAAAATGTAAGATCATAAAACTAAACATAAAAAGTAGTATCATATAACTGGTTTCTTGGATTCTACAGCATGTTATGAAAATCTGATTTTATTATTTTATTGTTTTTACTGTAAAAGAAGAGCATCTGCAAAAATCACAGACGGGACATAAATTCAAAAGTCAGTCGTAAATAACAAAGAGATTATACATTTCTAGAATATCATCCAAATAATTTAATAATTTATTTATTGAAATACATGGCTTCTGATACGTGAAATCTTTGAAAAGAGCTAATTAGTATTACATATAACTTTTCCTAGTTTTATGAAATCTGAAAATTTGAACTTGTGTTTGGGGTTCAATATAAATTCTTCTATTGTATCTGTTCAAATTATGTTTATTGGTTTTATATGAATTAGTTATTGATATTTACACATAGGAAACCAAAAGCTAGAAGAGAAACATTTTTTTTCATCTGTTTCAGAAAGAACCAACTTAAATGAGTGTATTAGTTTCCTATGCATAAAAAATTACCACAAACTGGGTAATTAAAACAAAAGTAATTTATTTTTTCATATTTTGGGGGGCCAGAAGTCTGAAGTCAAAATGTCAGCAGGGCTACATTCTCTCTGGAGCCTCTGGGGGAAAGTCTTTCCCTGTCTCTCCAGCTTCTGGTGGCTCCTGTCATTCCATGGCTTGTGGCAGCAAAATTCCAGTCTCTGCCTTTGTCTTCACGTGGCCTTCTCCCCTCTGTTTCTGTGTGTCTTCTCCTTTTCTGTCTCTTATGTCTCTTATAAGGACACATGTCATTAGATGTAGGGCCCACCCTAATCCAGGATGATCTCATCTTGAGATCCTTAATTACATCTGCGAAGACCCTTATTCCAAATAAGATCGCTTTCTGAAGTTCAGGTGGACACATATTTTGAGAAGACACTACTTAGCCTACTATAAAGAGTAACATATTCTGTTGAGGAAATCTGGGAGAAGACAGGAGAGTGACAAAAGGGCTGCATGAGTTCCACAAACCTGTTCTAGTAGAGCTCTCTATAAGAAGGCACTGACAGTATATTTACTTTTAGTGTTTCCATATTGATTAATATTTTGCAGTTTTTACAGTATTGAAAAATAAATGGCACTGTGTCATAATTTAACTACTGTCACTTTCATGCACATATGTTTCATGGTATATTATGTTTCCACATCTAAGACATTAAGATATTACATTGAGATATCTCTGGGGCATGGGACATCTTATGTGGTGAGAGGAGCATATTGTGCATAAATACTCAAGTTATCTCTCTTCCTAATACTTCCTTTCCCCAATTAGGGGTCAAGATTTTCTCAAAAGAAAAAAGTCAATTCCAAAGTTATTGACTAATCAAGTAGACATAGAACGGCGGAGAAACATGCATGGTTTTAAAATTTTAGATTTAGAATGAGAGCAGAGAAAGGACTTCCATCTATTTCCTTGGTAAATGAGAACTACCTAATTTGAGAACAAGCATAAGCTCTTGAATGAAGGCTCAAACATGAATCCTTTAGACTTGAAAGTTTAGAGCTTAGCTTTGGGGCAATTTGTTTAACTCTCTGTGAGCAGTGGGATAGAGAAGCAGAAACTCAGCCAGAAAGTTACTCCAAAAATGAGAGCTGTTAATTATAATAGGACATTTAAATTATGATAGTGCATTCATTGAATATTAAAAAAAATGTTTAAATACTTTTAAAAGAGAAAAAAAGTTTTTATTGTTCAAAGCCCAGGTGGAGAAATTATTCTGCTTATATAACTGCTTTGAAATACATTGAACAATTATACTCATTAAGAATAAGATTTAGGGCTTCCCTGGTGGCGCAGTGGTTGAGAGTCCGTCTGCCGATGCCGGGGACACGGGTTCGTGCCGCGGTCTGGGAAGATCCCACATGCCACGGAGCAGCTGGGCCCGTGAGCCATGGCCGCTGAGCCTGCGCGTCTGGAGCCTGTGCCCCACAGCGGGAGAGGCCACAACAGTGAGAGGCCCGCGTACCGAAAAAAAAAAAAAGATGATGAAAGAGGAGTCCAGTGGGTAGTCACATCATGTTAAGCTCTTGTTTAAGTGCTAGTCAGAGATACTAAATGAGTCTAATTTTAAATGAACATTTATAGTGAAGTATTAATTAAGGTAACTTTAGCTGTGGAAAATCAGTGGTTCAACACAATCTATTTACCCAAAAAAAAAAAAAAAAAAAAGAATAAGATTCCGTATGTTGATTCTTACAGTTTACTTCAGTTAAGAAAATGGTGAATTGTAGTGCCCTATTAAGCTGTAAATTCCATGAGAGCAGTTACCACTTAATATTCATTTTTGTTCCCTGATTTTGTCAGGTGCTCAAATAAATATTTGTTGACTAAGCTCTGTTTGTTCTTTTTCTCTCTGTACCAGGAACTTCTTGTAGGTAGACTGTCTTTTCCTTTTGTATCTTCAAACTTAACGTAGTGTCTGGCCCTCAGTCAGGGTTCAGTAAATTTTTTTTTAAACGAATTAATGACTGAATGTTCTAGTCATCCTAGCAACACCTTATCTTGAGTTAGTGTAATCTATTTTCTTCCTTCCTGTTGAGCATTACTAGAAATAAATCATATGATTTTGTTTATTGGCGCTACTACCAATTTATTAATCCTTTTATATAGTCTTAAAAATTATTAAGCATTCCAAAGAGCTTTTGTTTATATAGATAAGTATGCTGATATTTATCATAAGAGAACTGAAAACTGAGAATTTTAAAATGTGTATTTGTGAATTTATTTTAAAATAATAGTAAAGTCATTGTATATTAACATAAATAACATAGTTTTATAAAAACAAAAGCCAAAGCAAAATCAAGGGATTATTTTTCCTTTTGTTGTTTTGGATTTTTGCACCAACAATTTTCTCTATCACCTAGCTCTTAAGTCAACAGTGACTTGTTCTGTTCAATTAGCAAACATGCCCAACATATAGTAGCTACTTAAGAAATACATATGAAATAAAAGTCCAGGTTTTTCCCATCCTTAAAATTTCTTACTCCTTAACATAGCATGTACCACTGAAATGTTGAATGAATCTGAATCTCAACAGTTTTGAAAGACTGATCTCTACTTGGTCCTGAATATCATAACTTCATTTATCTCAGTGTGTTACAGTATGATTTTTGTCACTACCACTCTACTGAAACTGCTTTCTGTAAGGTCACCATGTACGAAATATACTATCCTGTGTTCAGTACTCATGTCACTTGATCTCTTACTGGCATTTGACATTATTGAACACCTCTTTTGTTTTTCCTTGAAGAACAGCAAAAATTGTGTGCTTTGTTTTGACACTAAATCTTTGAGGTTTGTATTATTGCTTACCCTGAGGTAATAAATATATCCTTCTATATTCTGTCCAATGAGTTTAATACTTTAACTCTCATATTTAAGTTTTTAATACCTAGAATTGCTTTTTTGTGCGATGTGGGTAAAGATCCAATTTCACTTTTATGTAATTACCTGGCTTATTATCATTTATTGATTAGTCCATCATTTATTCAATGGTTAGCATTAGTTTATGCCATGGTATAAATATTGTTAAAATTTCTAATATATTCTATAAATTTTTATCTCTATTTTAAAGCAAGGGCTTCTTTCAGGAAGTTTGATTTACACATATTTAAACAATGTTTGCCAAACTTGAATCATTAATTCTAGTTTAATGAGCTTCCGTCTATCCTCCTTTCCCTTCTCTTACTCTTGTCACCAGAAATTTCAACATTCACCTAGCATTCTAAGAAAAAATAAGTGTGTGCAATCATAGAATAAACTAAGCTATAATATTTTACACTAAAAACTTCTTTAGTTAGAGCTTCTTATTCAAATTGTTATAATCACATGTGAGCTAACTGGGAGATGAAAATAAAGAACACATTAAGATTTTATAATTGTTTTTTATCTATTAATGATTATTTTCCTTCTTTAGGTATTTCATGATGTTGCTTACAAAGCTAAAGATCGTAACGACTTGGTATCAGGAATTGATGAATTTCTGGATCAGGTTACTGTTCTCCCTCCTGGAGAATGGGATCCAAGCATTCGAATAGAGCCTCCCAAAAATGTTCCTTCCCAGGTATGTATATACAAAAATACTCTTAAGACTACCATCATTTTGTTGTGCTTTAAATATATGTACTAAAATAGTATAACCAATCCAAAGATTCAAATGATTTAAATTATAACTTCTGTGATACTGTGATTTATAATATGAAACATATATCTGGTCTTTGTCCCTATTTCTGACACAGAGCTCCTGAAATGCTTGGAATTTTCTAAGTGATGAAAGCAACAAAGATGTCTTTTGTTATGTTAATGAGGTTACTCCCTGGAGGTTACCTCCACGGAGGTGAGAGGGGCTAGAGTTTGAGTTCAATCACCAATGGCCATTGGTTTAATCAATCATGGCTGTGTAATGAAGCCTCCACAAAACCCCAAAGGGACAGGGTTCAGAGAGCTTCGGGGTTGGTGAACACACAGAGATTGGGAAGATTGGTGTGCCTGCAGAGGGTATGGAAGTTCCTTGACCTTTCCCCGTGCCTTGTCCTATGCATCTCTTACATCTGGCTGTTCCGGAGTTATATCCTTTTGTAATAAAACTGGTGATCAAGTAAATAAAATGTTTCTCTGACTTCTATGAGCCACTCTAGCAAATTAGTTGAACCTGAGAAGGGGTTCATGGGAACCCTCAGATTTATAGCCAGTTGATTGGAAGCACCAGCAACAACCTGAAATGGGGTCTGATTGGTGGGCAGTCTTGCAGGACTGAGCCCTCGACCTGTGGAATCCGATGCTATCTCTGGGTAAATAGTGTCAGAAATGAGTTAAATTTCCCACCACATTTGAATTGGTGCCAGAACCTAATAAATCTCTAGAAAGGCAGGGATATGAAGTTGTAAAATCTTCCTTCTTCCTATTCAACACAGATTTGGTGTATTGATGATATTCTACTAAATGACAGTCCCATATGCCTAGAAAGATTTTAGACCCACCTTAAAACATACTATACTGGAGGAAAATTGAAATTTTAATAAAAATAGAAAATATGCTTGAGAAAAAGCTCATTACTGTCTTTCCATATTCTGATACATCACTTTGAAATTGGCAAGTGTTAGGAAAATTCAAAGGCATGGTTTAGTCATATTGCATGGAAAACTCCCTGTTTGCTAATCACATTTATGATTTGAAGAATTTTTTAAAATAATTCTTTTGTTTCTATTACTTTTGTGTGGGCATATGGTGTGAAAACTGTAAAAATTCTCCCTATAAAAATCGAATGTGCATTTTATTTGTTATACAATGCAGAAAAATAGAAATAAAGACCATTGCTGTTGTTTGGGATGAGATTCTTATAGCAGGCATGTCTTTGTTGAGAGTGGTGGCCAAATGTCTTAAGCCCACTCATATTGCCATCTCTATTCCTTTTGAATCTGCCTCCTCCAACTCTCTCTGCTGTCATCTACCCAAGCCTTGCCTTTGGCTCTTGTGCCTGTGGAGTCCAGCTGCCTTAGTAGTTGACTGTGCTGCCTTAGTTGAAGTAACAGATGGCCTAATTGACCCAGCTCTAGACATAGAAGCTTTTCTGGTTAGCCAGAGGTGGGTAAATCAGCAGGTGTACTACTTAACCATTTCAGTTGATCTACTACTAAAATAAAGTAAGTTGCTTAAAGAGTAATTTTAAGGGTTTAGATGGTCTTATTTTTGTACTTGCATACACCTTTGCACTTACAGTATTTGCAAAGGCAGTATAATGCTTCTTGAAGTAATAAGAAAGAATCTCTTTAATTGATGTTATTCGGAAAAATTTAGTGAAAATACTAATATGTTGAATATGAGACCTTAAAAGTCACTTGTTAACACCAATTTGCTTTTCAAACATTAAAACTAAAGTCAAGCATTTTTTTTAAAAGTTATTTATTTTATTTTTGGCTGCGTTGGGTCTTCATTGCTGCGTGCGGGCTTTCTCTAGTTGCAGCAAGCAGGGGCTACTCTTCGTTGCGGTGCGCTGGCTTCTCATTGCGGTGGCTTCTCTTGTTGCAGAGCATGGGCTCTAGACACACGGACTTCAGTAGTTGTGGCACATGGGCTCAGTAGTTGTGGCTCGCAGGCTTAGTAGTTGTGGCGCACGGGCTTAGTCGCTCCGTGGCATGTGGGATCTTCCCCGACCAGGGCTTGAACCCCTGTCCCCTGCATTGGCAGGCGGATTCTTTACCACTGCACCACTACGGAAGCCCTAAAGTCGAGCATTTTTGAAAGCACCTTCCCTTTGAGAAATGATGTTTTTGAGGCAAGTGGAGGCATGGGAGCTTTGTATTTTCAAAATTAATTTTATGAGACTTTAAAACCAGGATTAATTGTTGGATTCTGGGTATTGAGAGGCAGTAGTAGAAGGAACATTGAATTAAGAATCAAGGCACCTGGGTTCTGCTATTATCTATTTGTATGATCTTAAACAGATGCCATAACCTTTCTGTACTGGTGTTCTATATCAGTGTGTCCAACAGAACTTTCTGCAATGATAGAAATATTCTATATCTATGCTATCTAATAAGCCAAGCCACTACTGAGCACTAGAAATTTGGCTACTGCAACTGAGGAACTGAATTTTTAATTTTAATTAACTTAAATTTAAATAACCACGTGTAGTTAGTTACTATAATGTTAGACAACACAATTTTATATAATGAGTTTGAATTAGATACACTGTTTCTTTACATTAGTATTTTTTAAATGTATGTTGGAATTGAATAATAGATACTATGAAACTATGTTTTCTTTGATTAAAATGAACTGAAATAAATTAAGCACTCTGACTTCCTATTCATTCAAATAATATTTTCCTCCATGGGATAATCTCCATGGTTTTTATTCTTCCAGAATGTGCAAATCACAGTAGTTTTAAATACTTTTTACTTTCAGTTAAGAGAAGAATAAACAGTCACCTCAAGGGATACCCTTGAAAATACTGTTAGAACATTGTGTCAGTCATTATAATCACTCCCTTGTGTATACCCTCGACTTCCTTGCTTTTCTCTCATGCCATTTACTTGCTTGTCAAAACCACAACACTGTGTGAATTCGGTTCTTTGGTCTATACCTCCATTGATGCAGCTGAGAGTGGCTGAAGGAAAACATACAACTACATTGACTAATCTCATATAATTCATGACCACATACCTCAGGTAGGCCCTTTATATTACAAGTTCATTATACTCTACTTCCCAAGTTCAATCCATTCTCTACATTATTATCTCACACCTGTTTTCTCTCCTCAAACCTTCAGCACATGCTTTCTGACTTTCAGATGTTGACTTGCTTCCTGCTTCCCTAAGAAAATTAAAATAATCAAAAGAGAACTTCTGTAGATTCCCAAAACCATATTTATCTACTGCCAGCAGCTACATTCTCTGCCTTCCCATATACTACTATTGTTGAATTATCCAAAGTCAGCCTTCTATCTGTGCAGTAGATCCCATCTCTTCATGCCTACTCAAAAACATTACTCCCCAATCCTCCTCTTTCTCCCCTGTATCATCAGGTCTTTTGTTCTGTATTATATCATTTTTATTAGCAAACAACATTGTTAATTTGTAAATCTTAAAAAAAGAATTCTCAATGCCACTATCACTGCCAGCTACTCATCCATTTCTTTGTTCCCTTCTATAACCCAATGCAACAGAAGAGTCCTCTGTACTATCTGCCTGCAATTCCTCTCCTCCAGTTCTCTCATTTTTTAATTGAAATATAGTTGAAGTACAATATTATGTTAGTTTCAGGCATACAACATAGTGATTCGATATTTAAGTATATTACGAAGTGATCACCACAGTAAGTCTAATAACTATCTGTCCCCGTATAAAATTATCACAGTGTTATTGACAACATTCTTATGCTGTGTAATACATCCCCATGACCTATTTACTTTCTAACTAGAAGTTTGTACCTCTTAATTCCCTTCACCTATTTCACCCATCCCCACACCTCCTCCCCTCTGGCAACCGCCCATTTGTTCTCTGCGTCTATGCCTGTTTTTGTTTTGTTTGTTTGTTTGCTTTGTTTTCTAGATTCCACATATCAATGAGGTTGTATGAGTATTTGTCTTTGTGTGACTTATTTCACTTACCATCATATCCTCTAGGTCCATGCATGTTGTTGCAAATAGCAAGATTTCATTCTTTTTTATCCTTCAATTCTCTCTTAAACCTACCTCCATAAGGCATTTATTTGCCCCCATCACTTTACTAAAATTTACTTACATGAAGGTCGCCAAAGACCTCCACAATGCTAAATTCCAAGGTCAATTTTCAGTCTATATTTTATTTAGCCTATCAATCAGCAGCCTTTGACAGAATTGATGACTCCCTTTTCCTTGATATATTTTCTTTTCTTTGGCTTCCAAAACCCCACACTCTTGGTTTTCTTTATACCTCACTGGTGACTCCTCAGTTTCATTTGCTGGTTCCCCCTCTTCTCTCTGATTTCTTTATATTGAAGTGATGCAGGGCTCAGTCCTTCTCTCCTCTACACTCATTCTCTTGGTAATATCATCCAATCTTATGGCTTTAAATCCTCTCCCAAATTTATTTTTCACCTTGCACTTGCAAGTTGCTTATCCAAATGCCTATCTTGTGTCTCTACTTGGGTGTCTTTTAGATATCTAAAATTCAACATGCCAAAGTTGGAACTGAATTATAGATTGTATTATTTCTGTACCTATATACATCTTTGCATTTATATTATAAAAGGCAATATAATGTTTCCTGAAGAATATAAGAAACTCTGATCTTTTCTCAAAATCTGTTCTATCTGTACCTTCCCATCTCAATAAGTGTTAACTCCATACTTACAATTGACCAAACTAGAAACTTTTATTCTTCTCTCTTATAACTGACTTCAATTCTGCCAGGAAATACTCCTGGCATTGCCTTCAATATTTATCCAGAATTATATGATTTCTTGCTGTTGCCACTGCCACCCTCCTAGTTCAAGCTACCACCATCTTTCTCCTGGATTACTGAAATAGCCTCCTAACCAGTCTCCTTGTTTCTACCCTTGGCCCCTAGAATCTGTTCTCAACACAGCAGCCAGAGCGTTAGGTCATGCTACTCCTTTCCTTAAAATCCTGCAAAAGCGCCTCATTTCATTGAGAATAAAAGCCAAATACATACCACGTTCTACTAAACCTATAGAGTCTGGCTTCCCTTCACCTCTCAGTCGTCTCCTGTCTCTTTCTTGCTCACTCCTCTCCTTGGCCTCCCTCCTCCTTGTTCTTCAAACCCTGCAGCCACACTCCTGCCTTAAGTCTATCCCACTGGCTGTTCTTTGCCTGGATGTTCCCCAGTTATTCTATGGCTAATTCTCTTGACTCCCTCAAGTTTTTCTCTAATGACGTTCCATTTGTAATTCCCAGTTCCTACTCCCTATACCTCACACCCCCCTTTAGTCTGCTCTAAATTTGTACTTTTCCATAGTTTTTATTTCTTTATTTTTTCTTTATTATATATTCTGCATTTGAAAAAAACCATTTGTTACCATATCTCTCTCTAGAATCTGGCATGTACATAATGCTACATAAATATGGACATCTCAAGGATCTTATTAAATCCACCAAACCTCTCTCAATCCCCAAAAGGAAGAAGCAGATCTGTTCAACGTTTCTTTCTAATAATTCAGGTTGGAGATACCAGAAGAAACTTGGAAACAAATTTTATTTATTTATTTACTTATTTATTAAAAAAAAATTTTAAGACATCTTTTTAAAAAATTTATTTATGTTTTATTTTTGGCTGCGTTGGGTCTTTGTTGCTGCACTCAGGCTTTCTCTCGTTGCGGTGAGCGGGGGCTACTCTTCGTTGCGGTGCGCAGGCTTCACATTGCGTTGGCTTCTCTTGTTGCGGAGCACGGGCTCTAGGCACGCGGGCTTCAGTAGTTGTGGTTTGCGGGCTCTAGAGCGCAGGCTCAGTAGTTGTGGCGCACGGGCTTAGTTGCTCCGCGGCATATGGGATCTTCCAGGACCAGGGCTTGAAACTGTGTCCCCTGCATTGGCAGGCGGATTCTTTACCACTGCACCACCAGGGAAGCCCTATTTTAAATTTTTATTGAAATATAGTTGATTTCAAACTTGTGTTAGTTTCAGATGTATAACAAAGTGATTCAGTTATTTATACACACACACACACACACACACACACACACACACACATATATTCTTTTTTAGATTCTTTTCCATTATAGGTTATTACAAGGTATTGAGTATAGTTCCCTGTGCTATACAGTGGGTCCTTGTTGGTTATCCATTTTATATATAGTAGTGTGTATATTTTAATCCCAAACTCTCCCTGGTTTATAATCTTTTTAACACACTATAGAATTAATTTACTTACATGTTTACTTGTTTACTGTTTGCCTTCCCCATTAGAACATAAGCTCCATAGGCCTGATTTTTCCCCAGGTATACAGTGGTGCAGCCTAGAACCTGACACAAATTGGCTCCCAATAAGTGTTTGTTGACTGAATTAATAAATTGTTTAATTTGCCTAGTCAAATATCTACTCACCTATTGATTTTACTTAAAATGTCTGGGGAATTCCCTAGCAGTCCAGTGGTTAGGACTCGGCGCATTCACTGCCATGGCCCGTGGTCCCTGGTCGGTGAACTAAGATCCTTCAGGCTGTGCGGCTTGGCCAAAAAAAAAAAAAAAAAAAAACTCTGAAAAACAAACAAACAAAAATTTCCTATATTTTCCTCGGAATATTCATTGGTACTATACATACACAATTCTTTTTTCAAAAACCTTTTTGCCTTACTAGAAGATGACCACTCCTTGAGAAAATTGTTACTTTAGCATGACAAATATCTTTCATGGCTTATCACTTGCCTTATCAGTGTATAGCTCTTCCCACTGTAAAACAATGAATTAATTTATGCAGTCAGAGATAATTCCCCAGAAGAACAAATATCACTTGCCTTCTGAGGCTTGCTAAGAAGTCTTTCCCTAGGCGATTATTGGGTATTGAGGGTACTGAGGGCCACTATCACAGCCCTTTACTGATGTATGATAGTTAATTTACCTGTAAAGGCAGTTCCTTCATCAGTTGACAGACATACTCTCTTTTATCTTTGAACTTCAATTCATTGTATCTATTTATATACCCAGGAAATTGCAAAATATTAGGCAATGAACTTTCCTATATTTTGTGCATTTGAAAATGTATTTTTGTCATGTTTTAACTCTGTACCATTTTATCTAAATGTCCCATTGTAATAAGATCATTTGATAATTCACACTTGTCCATGTTTAAACACAAAGAACATGTTTACACTATTTTGGAATGGCAGTCAAGTAAAAAGTTTAATTTCACCATTAAAATTTTTTTAATGTCCTTTTAAGCACTTTTGAACACATTGGTGTGCTCCAAGATCACCAGTAGGTAGGATTTTCTGATTTTTTAAACTCTCTGTCACTGACAAAAGTGGGCGGAATAGACCTATGGGGAAACAGCACTTACATAACCTCAGTTAATTTGTCATTGGCTCAATTAGAAGCTTCCTTTTGCAATAGTCTTTTGGATCGCTTTGTGTTGGAAAGAAGCTTGGGTAGGAAGATCTGAGTCAGGATCAGAGAGGGAAATATATTTTAAAAATAGCTAATGATAACAGTTAATGCTTATTGAACAGTTGAACTAGGCCAGGGATATAACACCACTAACACCTCTTCACCTCGACCTATCTTAAACCTGGTCTCGCTCTGTCCCCATCTCTTACTTTATTTTCTTTGTATCTCTATCTCTACCTGACATTGTAGGTTTATTGTTTGTCTCCACTAACATAATGCTTTTTCTTGCTCACCTTTACATCTATAGCATCCCATAAAAATGAATGGCACACACTAGGCACTCAATAAATATTAGTTGAAAGAATGAATTAATGTTCATCACCTTACTTCATTCTCTCAACCATACTGATAGGTACTGTTATTATCACCAGTAAAAGGAGGAGGGAACTTAGGCTTTAGGTGGCTAGATAACTTTCTAGAGGGCATATAACAAACAAGTAACAGAGCCTGGGTTCTTAACCACTCTGCGTATTATTGCCTCAAGGGGAAAAAAAATGGTTTTTGTTATTTACAACTAGCACCTGAAATTCAAAACCAAAAACAAAACAAAAAAACTTCCCGCAGGAGAAGAGGAAGATTCCTGCT